ATCTTTGATACAAGTAACGAGTTCACTTCCAAGTGAACAACCCGATAGTCTTCTTCTTATCATAGCATACCAACCAGCGAACACCCAGCCAAGTTTAGTTAGCCAGTTTGAGTATTCGTTACAACCGAGTCAAAGGTGTAGAAGTCGTACCGCTATAATATAGGCAGGACCAGCCTAGGCCAGGTGGTCCGTGCTACCGAGTATATTCACTCGGATATTATAGCGACACTAGGCTTATTTTAAAAGAAGTAAAAGACACGGTATAAATAACTAACTATCTAAAGTCCTTAACTAATTAAATTGATTAATTTCTCCCATAATATTAATTAAGTCTATCGATACCTTATAATTTATAAATCTATATAAATTCTTTAATTCTCTATATTATCGTTATTTTATCCTTTACTAATATCCTCCTATTTAACCTATTCTTTAACTATAATCTTAATCTTATTTATATTAATAAGTATCACTAATACCTAGTAGGGCTTTAATTTCGTTATCGCGTTAGTAGGATTTATAGTTCCCTTAATCTAAAGGATCTTATAGATTTTATATCGTTCGTATACCTAGCGTGGTATAATAATCGCTAATTCGTCGCCGATTACAACAACAAATTTGGCCGCGATCCGTATCTTCCGCCCAGTATTGCCGGCAGATGGTATGAGTTACAAAGTTTTGAGAAGTCTTCGCAAATTCCGCTTTTAGGATATTTGGAGAGATCACAAAGGAGGCGGAGAGAGCCGCAGCGATGACAGAGGTAGAGGTCTACAGGTCCTGGTTCGAGAATCATTTGCTTGGTCCCGATTCTTCTTCTCTGCTAGACACTGTCCTTGTACTCCTTTAGTCTCCTGGGAGTGCGAACTATTGTGATACAACAAAGTCGTGAGTTGCGAACTCACAACTTCCCTTCAGCTAAGCTAAACAATACAGTGTCCCGAACGAGTCCTTCGGGCATGGTTTTTGGTCTTACTATATTACAAGCTTCACTGCTGGCCCTGAGCTTGTGTTTCCAAGTACGAAGCCTTTTTTTGTGTGCAATACATGTATGTGCTGATGTGTTCGACCAGTTGGTACATGAACATACGATTCCAAGGTGACCCACAAAAAGGAGAGTTTACCAGCCTCAGCCGGCATTGTCGGGGCCCCCGGTTTGTCTCCACTATCTTTGCTGATGAATCCATCACTGAAAGTGTCATAGAGCGGACTTTGCAATCATCGGCAGGAAATTTCCATCAGTAACTCTTGCGTCTCTAGATATATCAAAGGTCTCATTAATTGTTCTACCTTTGCTCCAAAAACCTTTGACTATGCCATTATAACCCTATTATTCTAAGACACTGCTTCAATTGACCGTGATTCGAGGATGTTCGACCACATTTCTCCCACCATAAAAACCCTGCCTTAAGTACTCTGGCAGAAAAGGAATCGCCACCCGTTGTGCCCATTTAGCTCTAAAAAGCAGCGGTTGTAATAACATCGCCGAGCGTGGGCGGCAAGTCATTTAAACCGAATAATCCGACTCCTTCCAATTCTTTGGCTGGGGGTCCATCTTGTTCCCCCCACCATAAAAGCCCATACGATCTGGTCTCGGGTTCTTTACCTTAGACGGTAGTGGTGGCCCAAAAGGGTTCCCAAACAGCCCTGGCGTCGGGAACTTCCCTGCCTTCTCATCTGCAACCTTGATCTCTTGAGGAGGTGGCATGGGAGCCGGACCCTTCGCTGCCTTCAGCGTCTCTGGGCGCGATTTGGAAGCAGGTTGTGAATGTAGCGCTTGGGTCAACCAATTGGAAAGTAAAGGAGGCTTTGCGAGTGCTCCTCCAGCGGCGGTGGCCGGAAGACCTGGAGTAACTGGTTGTCGAGCTTCAAGTACGGCGCTTTTAGGTCTATTTTATAAATTAGTTTACGTGACAGAGGGAAATTAGGTAACAATAACGCTTACTGAACAGGAAGAGCAGATATAGAGACTGCTGAAACAAGTAGCAGAACTCCTATAGGGATGCCAAGGAATTGCATGTTGAGTTAAACAAGAAACTTGGCTGTTTTGAAAAGAATAAAAGAATGTATTAAAGGAGTTTATTAGAAGCCTAAAGAATAACGTAAAAGAAGGATGGAGAAGTGAAATATAATTCTAGAAATGCCAGTTATTATATCTCAACCCCAAATGAGAGAGATTGGTCTTGTATCTAAGAATAGAAATGCTTGATCTTCGCGCTTACCGTGTCCAAGAAGAAAAAGGCTTAGCTTTCGACATGTGGGTAGGAGATGGGATAGAATTTGTCAACGACTGAATGAATAAATTGAAGCGATTTCGAGACAGCGTATCAAGGATCGTCATTTTAGATATCATGGCGCAATTTAGATTTCGTGGAATCTTTACTTCAATAATCACGAAGTCGCATGCCCACCGGTAGGTTATTACGATTAGGCTGCTGTTAAAATGCTTAAGCATTCCATTAAAATGCTTTTACTCGTATTTCCCCCCGGCTGCCGCCCTTGGTGACTCGGCATTTCCGTTCTAGTGCGAATTTAGGTGTGATTAGGAAATGCGCGTTCATACCTTACTCGCTACATCCTCACGACCGTAACCAACGCACCCTAACTTACTATCGCACCCTTACTGTCGTACCCTACTAGTTATTCCGTACATTTTTTTTAGTAAGGTAGCGGCTAGTAACCAGATTTTATAGGGGTTATATAAGGGCTCTGTCACGAATCACGTGTTAGCATGTGACGAGTGAAGACCAGGCGGCGTCCTGACAGGTTAAGCACTATCATGCTCTTATAGCGAATAGGGATCGGCTAGACTAGCTAAGCGATCCAAGGATTTCATTATAGTCACGTGACGGATCTTTGGATCTCGATGGATCTTGGGGATCCTAGGATCCAACCAGATCCATGAGCAAGAAGGTTCTATATAACACTGGCATGTCTGCCATTAGATAGGAGCTTCGTGCTCAACTTAGTTATCAACTTAGTTATCAATCTTATCATATTAGTTTGACATCTTTGATACAAGTAACGAGTTCACTTCCAAGTGAACAACCCGATAGTCTTCTTCTTATCATAGCATACCAACCAGCGAACACCCAGCCAAGTTTAGTTAGCCAGTTTGAGTATTCGTTACAGGCTCTTATATAGGTAAATATAACTTAGTATAGTATCTTAGTACTTCGCTTAGTAAATATAAAAGTAGTATTAAGAATAAAATAAGAGACTATTAGAATAAGCTATATAAAAAGTAAATAAATAAAAAGAAGTTAGCTAAGAAGAAAAGAAATAGTATAGAAATAAAAAAGTTAACTAATTAATTAATTCTTTATATTAAGAACTTATATAAGTTATAGTAAATACGCTAGTAGTTACTAGTATATAAAGGTAGCCTAATCGCTAGGAATATATACTTAGTACTACGAGTCTTAGACTCTTTCTTTTCTAGCTAGTTCGCTCGAATTTATCTTAGCTCTTAGTTACTAGGTTATATAACCGATTTTCCCCTACCTTAATCTAACCTTATGTAACGAATACTCAAACTGGCTAACTAAACTTGGCTGGGTGTTCGCTGGTTGGTATGCTATGATAAGAAGAAGACTATCGGGTTGTTCACTTGGAAGTGAACTCGTTACTTGTATCAAAGATGTCAAACTAATATGATAAGATTGATAACTAAGTTGATAACTAAGTTGAGCACGAAGCTCCTATCTAATGGCAGACATGCCAGTGTTATATAGAACCTTCGTGCGTCCCTTGCTTGCGAGAATCTCTTGGATTTCCCACTCGTCATCACCAGTAATATTGACAGGCGGTGGCTCTGGGTTACTTTGGCCTGATAGAGGGTTCTGGGAAGCCTTGCGTAGTCTATCAAGGGAAAAGACAGGATGGACTTTTATTGAGTCGGGTAGTTGAAGCTTGAAAGAGTTGCCTACTTGCTGGATAATCTTGTAAGGGCCAGCTTCCGGAAAGTCAAGCTTGCGACTAGGCCTCTCTGTACGTAAGTGCTTCTTAGCAAGCCAAACAAAGTCTCCTACTCTAAAATCCACTGGACGGCGGTGTTTGTTGGCGGAAGCTTTCATACGTTCGTGGGTTGAAGAGAGCTCTCGCTTCGCAGCCTCCTGTGCATCCTTCATACGAGTAGTAAGCGCTTTTGCCTTCCCTACGCTTAGTTGGTCCGACGGGGCTGTAATAGGCGTATCCCAGTCAAAAGACGTACGAGCCGGGTATCCGTACAGTACTTCAAATGGGCTCATTTGGCTAAGCGAGTCATGCGGTAGCGTAAGCTGGGCATAGTCCATCATAGGCGGCAGCTCTGCCCAGTTGTCCTGATAGTAGCTGACGAATGGGCGTAATCTTTGTTCTAGGTACTGGTTCATGATTTCGGTCTGTCCGTCCGTCTGTGGGTGGTGGGCAGTAGAAAGCCTTAGCTGCGTTCCAAGGATACGGTTAAACTCCTTCCAGAATGCTGAGATAAATTGTCCTCCACGGTCTGAAACAATAGACTCAGCGGCACCATAGTAACGATATACGTGACAAATGTACAACCTAGCCATATCTTCTGCTGTAACTGTCTTGTAGCAAGGGACAGATATAGCTTGTTTTGAGAGTCGGTCTACTACCACAAATATGTTGTCGCATCCTGATTTGTCCTTTGGAAAGCTGCACAAATCCATAGTAATATGCTGCCAGGGGCGGTCTGGCACAGGGAGTGGCTGAAGTAGTCCAGGCGTCTTGTCTCGTGGACTACTTGAGCGGCGGCAATCGTGGCAATTCTGGCAATATTGTTGTATATCCTTCCACATCCCTTTCCAGTAGTAGCGTATAGCTAGCATTTTGTGGGTTTTCTGACGTCCTGGATGAGCAGTAGACACTTGATTGTGAGCCTCGCGTATCAAGTGTGTCCGTAAGTTCTGGAAGTCAGGCACAACAAGGCGGTCGTGGTATAGTAATAATCCATTTTCCAGGGCAAAAGGACCTTCTAAATCAGCTTCCGCTTGTTGACGGACAGCAGTAAGCGACTTAGAGGTACGGTTGACAGTCAAGATTCGGTCAACCATCGATGTCTCAGCTGAAATAGGTGCAATGTCTTGAGAGTTGATTTGTGCTTCTGAAGCAGGGTCGGGGTGTAGAATAAGTGGATCAATTTGGTCATTCCGGAGTAGTTGCCGTAGCCGGTCAGCTTTCTTTACTGAGTCCTGGGCCTCTGTTTCATCTAAGCGCCTTGTTAGGGCATCCGCGCGGGTATTTTCCTTGGCCGAGCGGTACTTGATAACAAAGTGGTACTCAGCCAAAGCTTCAGCCCAGCGTGCTTGGCGTGCGTTCAAGTTCTTGGAGGTCATGAAGTACTCAAGAGCCTTGTGGTCGGTGTAGATCTGAATGCGCTGTGTAGTACGCTCGAGTTCTGGCCTCCATTCCTTCAAGGACTTGACAATAGCCAGCATTTCCTTGTCGTGGATCTCATAATTACACTCCGCTGGGGCCATAGTCTTCGAGAAGTAGGCTACAGGCAACCAGTGCTCGCCATGCTTCTGAGAAAGGATCCCTACAATCACCCCGTCCGAGGCGTCTGTCTCAAGCATGCTTTCTAGTTCTGGGTCGTAGTGCTGGAGCAAGGGAGCTGAGGTTAAGGCATCCTTTAGAGTCTGGAATGCGTATTGACAGTGGCTATCGAAATGGAATGGCACACCATTGTGGGTGAGGGCTGTCAGTGGCTTTGCAATAACTCCGTAGTTCCTAATAAATCGTCTGTAGAAGTTGCAGAAGCCTAGGAAGGACTGTACGCCCTTGACTGTTGAGGGAGGTTGCCAGTTTTGTACGATTGCAACCTTTTCCGGGTCTACAGAGATGCCGTCAGTCGAGATGATAAACCCAAGGTACTTCGTCTGAGTAACACTGAATTCACATTTCTTGATGTCAGCCTGTAGGCCTGCGTCGCGTAGTCTCTGTAGTACTAGCTGGACATGTGTTTCGTGTTCTAGGGGGTTCGTCCGAATAAATAAGGATATCATCAAGGTAAGCAGTACAGAAGTCGTCTAGATAGTCAAAGAGAACGTCATTCATATACCTCTGGTATGTGGCAAGCTCATTTGTAAGTCCAAACGGAAGAACCTTGCATTTGTACGCGCCATACCTTGTACGGAAGGTTGTCAATTCCTCAGAGTTAGGGTCCATTCGTATGCGGTGGAATGCCTGGCGAATGTCAAGCTTTGTAAAGATCTTAGCTCGAGAGATTCGGGCCAAGGTCTCGTCTATCAAAGGCAGGGGATATCGGTCCTTACGGCTCAAAGCATTGAGTTTGCGGTAGTCAATACAGAACCGTAAGCCGCCGTTTGGTTTCTTGACAAAGAGAACAGGAGCAGCGAAGGGTGCTTGGCTAGTTTCAATGAAGCCCTTGTCCAGGTTTTCAAGCAAGTACTGTTTTGTCGCTTCCAGCTCTTGTACGCTCATTTTGTATAGCGGGCTATACAAAAGATGCTTCTCGTCGGCTTCTAGAGTGATTTTGTGATCGTACGACCGATGTGGCGGAAGCTCGTCAGAGGCTGACTTTGAAAATACGTCTGCGAACTGAGAATAGGTCTCTGGCAACTGGTGTAGGTCCTCATCGTCTACTGTCGCTCGGGAGGTAGAGTTCTGGTCGATAACACGGTCTAGCTCATACAGGCTTGTAGAGAAGAGCTCGTTGTCGGTCTGTTGACAGTTTAGATGCATAGCATGACCAGAGATCAGAGAGATGTCAAGAACATCGTTCGACAGTGGTTGTGGTTTCCACAGAGGCTTAAGCAATCACGGGGGAGCTTGGCTCCGATCTCGCTGTCGGTCTTGAAGGCAGTTATCCATTTGGTAAAGAGATTTCCGGAGCTCTGACTCATAAGTGGTACGTCCTTGGAGCCGTGGCTTGAACTGACCAAGTTGCCTTGTTCGTGCAAGAGGTGTTACTTCTTGTGTAACAACGTCTGGCTGTTCATTGAGAAGTTCAAGCGATGTC